TAGCTACGTACTCAAGACTTTGAATAGATAATAATAGGTGGATTCGTAATCCAATACTCGTCCCATATACATATTAAATTCACATTTTATATGTTTTCGTAGATTAAATTAGAATAATTAAAAATCATAAAAATCACTTTTATTTGTTCACTTTGAATCTAATTAAGAACTAGTATACTCAATTAAATTTTATTTCTCGTGGGACGACAATCTTAACTCATCAAATCTATTACTTGTCAACGATCCCGTACGCTTGCGGGTTTCACACGAACAACTACCATTTCAACGCAAAGAGAGAACCTTCCACTTCCTTTCAACTCTGCAAATAATAATTAAATCTCAGAATTCATTGTGAATAAAAGTCAAATTCATTAAACGATGTGATGTTGCATTTCTACACGCATAAAGCCCACATAAGCATGTAAATTCCTCTACTTAGTGTATAGATTACCCATTGGCTTGTATCAATATTGGATTCTAGAAGGTGACATGGACAACATTTATTAAAATTTGTTCAACAAAATGATCGAATCGCTGCAACATCGTCATGGAAACCAAAATTTATTAAACCCGTAGAAAAACCCTAAAAACTCAATCACAAAAGAAAATCAAGCTTCACAAAATTTCGTAAGAAAAACTACAATTCCCCCACAAAGAGAAAACCTTCCACATCCTTTCGACTTTGCAAACAAATAATTAAAAACTGTCACAAATTATTGTAGATAAAAATAATTTTACGAATATCGCGGTACATAATTGTATGATTTTTTGCCACCAAACACTGTTGAAATTTTAAAAGTGATTCAATCAATAATTTACGGATTCAAAACATTCAAACCTAAGAATATGTACCAAGTATGTTGATTTTAAATTTAGCCAATAATTTTTATAGAATGATAAAATTAAGCAAATATGCAAAATCATCACAAACAACTGAAGGAGAAAAAAAAACGTGGTTCTCCAAATTAGCAACTAATGAGAGGGCAATCTGGACATTTGCTGTATTTTAAGTTGGTAGATATCACGTGGCAGCTCCTGATTCGTGTATTTGATATGACCCGGATCTGTGTTTCTTCTGGTTGGATGTGGACCATTGGATTAAATGAATGGTGGAGATTAAACTAGAGTTGGCCCTTAGTTTTGATAACCAGCTGGAAGGGTGTTATTATTATTTCATACGGTTTTGATAATATCTCCTTTTCTCTCTCTCTGTTGGTCGACTTTTCTTTTCCTTTCTTGGCTCTTTGAATCTGGAGATTGTTTCTCCATTTGGATGATTCTGGTTAAATGTAAATACTATAGTAAATAGAGGACGGTCTTGTATGCGTGATCTGTCTTGTTTTTGTACTTGTAGCTGGTTAGGGAGGAAGCTGTGAGTTTATGTCCAGATTTGAGATCCGGTTTTAGGGTTGATGATTGATCTGGTTTTCTATCTTGGTTCTATGTACTGTACACTCTCTCTGTGAGGCAGAATTGCACTAGTGGATTGGGCTGACCTGAGCTCCCCAGATTAAGCCTTCAAGGCCGAACTGGGTGACCATTCTTGTGTTCTTATTTTCTTGCACTTTATATTTGTGTTGTGCTTGATGTGTTTTTCGGTGTTGGGGTACGAATTTCCTAACAAATCTGGTATCAGAGCCTATAAGGCCGTGAGGTAAGGTATATTTGGATACAGTTTAATCTCTTATCGTATTAACACATTTACTTCACTTGTGCAGTTTTTAAAAAGTGAAATATAGTGATTCTTGGAAGCTAGGGTTTCGGACCCCTATCTGCAGAAACCGAAACTGCATTTTTTTGATACTGTATTACACAGTATTTTTGGTGAGATCTTTAACAATTAAACACTGTTGTCCTTTGCTTGATATAAATGTTGAATCTGATTTCAAGCATGTTATTGTGATTGTATCATTCAAAGAAACTGAACATTGTGTTTAATTGTGATAGGAAAACGTTTTTAGGAAATTTCATTTTTCTGGAATCTTATTGATTGGTACCAAATTTTTTGGAAATCTGAAATTTTTTAGTTACTGTGTTTTTTGATCAGTATATATTGGATTATTGTCTGCTTGTTTTCGGGTCAGCTTACTTGTCAATTATCTGCAAAATTTTTTCAAAAACTTTTTCTGTAACCTAAGTGATTTCTTGAATTAAATCACTTATGTCCTTGAGTAACAATCCTTTTACAGAACCTGCAATGGGTTCGAAGGTCGAATTAAGTCAATTCGATGGAAAGGATGATTACTCTATATGGAAACAGAAAATGAGGGCCATTTTGGTCCAGCAAAAGGTTGCAAAAGCCCTTGATGATCCTGAAAAGTTTCCTGATGAATTGAAAGCTAAGCCTACTGAAATTGAAGATATGAATGAAATAGCATATAGTTCAATTATACTACACTTGTCTGATAACATAGTGAGATAAGTTGAAGAACATAAAACTGCTCGAGCCCTGTGGGAAGCCCTAGATACTTTGTTCTTAACTAAAACACTGCCTAATAAGATCTACCCGTTGGAAAAATTGTTTAGCTTCAAAATGGATCCTGGAAAAGACTTAGAATCTAATCTCAGTGACTTTAGCATTCTTGTCAAGAGTCTTTCACATAACGATAAGAAATTTGAGGATGAAGATTTGGCTGTGATCCTTCTAAATTCACTACCCGAATCTTATAAAGATATCCGAAATGCAATAAAATATTCAAGAGATGCCTTAACACAAACAATTGTGACAAATGCCCTAAAATCTAGGGAGTTGGAGGTTAAAAAGGAAACAAGAATTAACCCTAGAGAAGAGAACCTGTTTGTTAGAGAGAGAACTGATAAAAGAGAGAACCATTCGTTGAATAAGAGGTTCAAATCTAAATCAAGAGGTAGGTCCAAGTCAAGGGATAAAAGCAATAAAAAATGCTATCATTGTGGAAAACTTGAACATTTCAAAAGGGATTGCTTCGAATTAAAGAAGAAGTTAAAAGAACCTAATAACAGTGAGTTGAATAATGCTGCTGTAAGTTCAGAACTTGACAGCCTTCTTGTTATGACTGTGTCTAACGATGAGACAGACACTGACTGGATACTTGACTCTGGATGTACATTTCATATGTGCCCAAATAAAACTTGGCTCCACTCAGATTTGTGGGGTCCAGAAAGCCACTCAACCTTTGGTGGGAATAAATATTTTCTTTCTATAATTGATGATTATTCTAGAAAGGTCTGGACATACCCCTTAAAGACAAAATCTGAAACATTTCAAAAATTCAGAATTTGGTTAACGATGGTTGAAAATCAATTGGGCAGAAAATTAAAAACCTTAAGGACAGATAATGGGTTGGAATTCTGTAATGCAGAATTTGATAACTTTTGCAGGCAAAAGGGAATTATTAGGCATAGAACTGTTAAGCATACTTCCCAATAGAATGGGGTAGCTGAAAGAATGAACAGAACTCTAATGAATAAAGTTAGATGCATGCTAATAAGTTCTGGTCTAGCAATAGGTTTTTGGGCAGAAGCTTTATGCACTGCAGCCTATCTAATTAATAGGTCACCATGTAGTTCTGTAAAGTTCAAGGCCCCTCAGGAATTGTGGACTGAAAAAACACCAAATCTGTCTAATATTAGGGTCTTCGGATGTGCTGCATATGCACATCAAGTTGAAGGCAAGTTAGATCCTAGAGCCACCAAATGTGTCATGTTAGGGTACCCTGAAGGAGTTAAAGGGTACAGGTTATGGGTACTAGGTGAGAAAGGCATTAAAATCATTAACAGTAGAAATGTGGTGTTTAATGAATCTGCCATGCTTAAAGAGTAAAAGGGATAAACATGAGGCAATTGAAAATAGTACTTCACAGAATGAGGTGAAGTTGGCAAGATTGGGTCACAATTCTATTGAGATAACTGAACCTGAAAATGAACAGCCAAATGTTAGATCAGACAACACAAATGAAGGTGAAGTTATAACAGCCCAAACTGAAACTGAAATTGTGACACCTGAAAATGAAACTAGTACCCAAGATTATCAATTAGTAAGAGATAGGGAAAGGAGACAGATTAAACCCAATCCAAGATATGAGACTAATAATCTGACAGACTTTGCCCTTATCACTGGTGAGAACTTAGAACATGCTGAACCTTATACTTATGATGAAGCTATAAGTTGTTCTAAATCTCAGAATCGGAAAGATGCCATGAGGGAAGAAATGAAATCCCTGATTGATAATAAAACATGGAAACTTGTGAAGAAACCTAAAAATCAGAGAGTGGTTCAATGCAAGTGGATTTATAAACTTAAAGAAGGCAATTCCCCAACTGACCCTTTAAGGTATAAGGCAAGATTAGTGGCCAAAGGGTTCACCCAAAGGGAGGGAATTGATTACAATGAAATTTTTTCACCTGTAATCAAATATAAGACAATAAGGCTAATACTTGCTCTAGTTGTTCAGTTTAATTGGGAACTTGAACAATTAGATGTCAAAACAGCTTTCTTGCATGGAAAATTGGATGAGGACATCTATATGTGTCAACCTCAAGGTTTTGAGGAAAAGGAGAAACCTCAAGATTTTGAGGAAAAGGAAAAATCTGATTATGTTTGTAAATTACCTGGCAGCAAGATATATCTACTCTTGTATGTAGATGATATGCTGCTGGCCATTTCAAGCAAGGCTGAAATAAAAATAATGAAGAACCTCCTAAAATCTGAATTTGACATGAAAGACTTAGGGAATGCCAAGAAAATACTGGGAATGGTGATAACTAGGAATAGACAAGAAGGCAGGTTAATAATAACCCAAGAGTCTTACCTACATAAAGTTTTATCTAAGTTTGGCATGAAAGAAGCTAAGTCTGTCAATATTTCCTTTGCTGCCCATATGAATCTCTCATCTACCCACTGCCCTAAAACTAAATCTGAGATTAAAGATATGACAAATATTCCATATGCTAATGGTGTTTGATCTGTTATGTTTTTCATGAGTAAAACACAAGCAAACCTTGCATATTCAATTAGTTTTTTAAGTAGGTTTATGGCAAACCCGGGGAAACCACATTGGGCTGGCTTAAAATGGCTATTACGGTATATAGCTGGGACACTAAGTGTAGGATTAGTGTACAAAAAGGGATCAGAACCATTAACCCTTAAAGGGTACGTGGATTCTGATTTTGCTGGAGATAAGGATCAAAGAAAATCTACCACAGCTTTTTTCTTTACACTTGGTGATAATTGTATCACATGGAAGTCTCAACTTCAACCAATTGTCACTTTATCTAGTACTGAAGCTGAATATGTGGCAATTACTGAATGTGTTAAAGAATGTATATGGCTGAAAGGAATTTTAAGTGAACTGAATTTTCTTCTTTCATCACATGTTATTCTTACTGATAGTCAGAGTGCATTATTGTTAAGCAAGAACCCTGTCTATCATGAAAGGTCCAAGCACTTTGAGGTGAAGTATCATTTCATAAGAGAGAAACTATCTTTAGGTGAAATGATGTTAGAGTAAATTCATACTGACATTAACCCATCTGATATGGGCACAAAAATTCTGCCTGTGAGTAAGTTTAGAATGTGTTTGTCACTTCTCAACATTGATACTGGGTAATTTTTCTTTGCAGGTACCTAAGGCAATGATGTTGTTCAGCCTTTCCACAATAGTGCAATTCAGCAACTGAGAGAGTGAGTGCAATTTTGAGAACCAAGGTGAAGATTGAAGGAGAAAAAAAAAACGTGGTTCTCCAAATTAGCAACTAATGAGAGGGCAATCTGGACATTTGCTGTATTTTAAGTTGGTAGATATCACGTGGCAGCTCCTGATTCGTGTATTTGATATGACCCGGATATGTGTTTCTTCTGGTTGGATGTGGACCATTGGATTAAATGAATGGTGGAGATTAAACTAGAGTTGGCCCTTAGTTTTGATAACCAGCTGGAAGGGTGGTATTATTATTTCATACGGTTTTGATAATATCTCCTTTTTTCTCTCTCTGGTGGTCGACTCTTCTTCTCCCTTTCTTGGCTCTTTGAATCTGGAGATTGTTTCTCCATTTGGATGATTCTGGTTAAATGTAAATACTATAGTAAATAGAGGACGGTCTTGTATGCGTGATCTGTCTTGTTTTTGTAGTTGTAGTCGGTTAGGGAGGAAGCTGTGAGTTTATGTCCAGATTTGAGATCCGATTTTAGGGTTGATGATTGATCTGATTTTCTATCTTGGTTCTATGTACTGTACACTCTCTCTGTGAGGCAGAATTGCACTAGTGGATTGGGCTAACCTGAGCCCCTCAGATTAAGCCTTCAAGGCCGAACTGGGTGACCATTCTTGTGTTCTTATTTTCTTGCACTTTATATTTGTGTTGTGTTTGATGTGTTTTTCGGTGTTGGGGTACGAATTTCCTAACAACAACCTCATTGTAGCCATCATGAAACCCAGATTTGTGACTCAATTTGAAGAAATGTAAATTCAAAGGCAAAAAATTACGTCTTATTTAAGGATGCCCTAAATAAAATCTAAGTAAAGTTTCAATCTATGCATCTCGCCTTCTGTTCTATGATAATTTCTTAATTTAATGGATTTTGAAGGAAGAAAATGAAGCAGCCACTGTAGATTTTTCTATGGATTAGCGGTCGCAAAAAAGAAATTCACTTAGATGTTAAATCATCAATCCAACGGTGCAAGAAAAAGAAACATAATTCCAATAGGTTAAACGAGGTACACACTAGTGGAAGGAGATACTAATTTTCAATAGGTGGTTTTGTTCAATTGACATTACCAACGAGGGTGTTGCAGGAGGAAAGGCTGAAACATATTCAAATTTTGCACGTGAGAAGAATGATTCGAATATGTTATAGATAGAGCATTAAATGTTAAATTTGTGTACTGTTACTTATCTATCCATAAACACTTTGCTATATTATATATTCGCTTTATTACGACAATTAAATGAATTAGCTACAGTGATACATTAGTTAAGTTAAAAAGCATTGCAATTTTTTATTCCCACAAATACACACAATATTGAAGTAGCTACAGTAATTAACTTGTTTAGCTACAGTGCAAGTATTTGTCTTCTCACACACAGTGCATATACACACATTACAAAGGAAACCAGATTGGAACCGGTTCAATGTGAAATGAAGGGTCCAAAAATGAAGAGTAAATGACCATCCTCTCTTTTAAGGTATGTTAAACTCGTGTGCTATTTCTTTTCTATCCATAAGCACTTTGCTACAGTACATATTGGCTTTGTTAGGATAGTCAAATGAAGTAGCTACAATAATATATCTGTTCAGCTACAGTGCACTGCCATTTTTTATTTTCACACATACACAAAATATTGAAGTAGCTACAATGATTAACTTGTTCAGCTATAGTGCAAGCATTTTGTCTTTCCACACACAATGCATATGCACACATAACAAAGGAAACCAAATTGGAATCGGTTCAATGTGAAATAAAAGATCCAAAAAATGAAGAGTAAATGACCATTCTCACTTTTTAGGTATATTAAACTCGTGTGCTGTTAATTTTCTATCCATAAACACTTTGCTACATTACATATTAATTTTGTTTCGACAGTCAAATGAATTAGCTAAAGAATATATCAGTTCAGCTACAGTGCACTGTCATTTTTTATTCCCACACATAAACACAATATTGAAGTAGCTGCTGTAATTAACTTGTTCAGCTACAGTGCAAGCATTTTGTCTTCTCACATACTATGCATATCCACACATTACAATGGAAACCAGATTGGAATCAATTTAACGTCAAATAAATGGTTCAAAAAGGAACAATAAATGGCCATCATCTCTTTTAAGGTATGTTAAACTTGTGTGCTATTACTTTTCCATCGATAAACACTTTGCTACATTACATATTGGCTTTGTTAGAACAGTTAAACGAATTAGCTACCCTAATACATCTGTTCAGCTACAATGCACTGCCATTTTTTAGTCTCACACATACACACAATATTGAAGTAGCTACAGTAATTAACTTGTTCAACTACAATGCAAGCATTTTGTCTTCCCACATACAGTGCATATGCACACATTACAACGGAAACCAGATTGGAACTAGTTCAATGTGAAATGAAGGATCCAAAATTGAAGAGTAAATGGTCATCCTCTCTTTTAAGGTATGTTAATTTTCTGTGCTATTACTTTTCTATCCATAAACACTTTACTACATTACATATTGGCTTTGTTACGACAATCAAACGAATTAGCTACAGTAATACATCTGTTCAACTATAGTGCACTGCCATTTTTTATTCTCACACACACATAATATTGAAGTAGCTAGAGTAATTAACTTGTTCAACCACAGTGCAAGTATTTTGTCTTTTCACATACAGTGCATATGCACACATTGCAAAGGAAACCAGATTGTAACCGATTCAATGTGAAATGAATGGTCCAAAACGAAGAGTAAATGGTCATCCTCTCTTTTAAGGTATGTTTAACTCACGTGCTGTTACTTTTCTATTCATAAACACTTTGCTACATTACATATTGGCTTTGTCATGACAATTAAATGAATTAGCTACAGTAATACATCAGTTCAATTACAGTTTTACTGCCATTTTTTATTCGCACACATATACACAAAATTGGGGTAGCTACAGCTATTTTACTTGGCGAACTACAGTTCAAGCATTTTGTCTTCCCATATACTGTGCATATCCACACATTACAAAGGAAGCTAGATTGGAATCGGTTCAATGTGAAATGAAGGGTCCAAAATGAAGAGTAAATGGTCATCCTCTCCTTTAAGGTATGTTAAACAAGTGTGCTGTTACTTTTCTATCCATAAACACTTGTTACATTACATATTGACTTTATTAGAACAGTAAATGAATTAGCACAGTGATACATCGGTTCAGCTATAGTGTATTGCCATTTTTTATTCCCACAAATATACAAAATATTGAAGTAGTACAGTAATTAACTTGTTTAGCTATAGTGCAAGCATCTTATCTTCCCATACACAGTATATATGCACACATTACAAAGGAAACCAGATTGGAATCAGTTCGATATGAAATGAAGGTCCAAAAATGAAAAGTAAATGACAATCCTCTCTTTTATGGTTTGTTAAACTCGCATGTTATTACTTTTCTATCGATAAGCACTTTGTTACATTACATATTGGCTTTGTTACGACAGTCAAATGAATTAGTTACAGTAATACATCAGTTCAACTACAGTGCACTGTCATTTTTTATTACCACACATACACACAATATTGAAGTAGCTATAATAATTAATTTGTTTAGTTACAGTGCAAACATTTTGTCTTCCTACATACAGTGCATATGCACACATTATAAAGAAAGTCAGATTTGAGCCGGTTCAATGTGAAATGAAGGGTCCAAAAATGAACAGTAAATATCATCCTCTCCTTTAAGGTAAGTGGGATGTTTGAGTGAAATTTCCATAATTATGACCACATGGCAAAAATAAACCACCAGCTTATATTAGTAGTGTAAGAACAGCAACATCATCATAACCGTACCGTCAAAGACTCAAAAATCAAGGGAATTGAAAACAAGGAAATTGACGTATCACACTACGCATGAATAATATCTTATTATAAACATAATCATCATTCATCTCTATATCATTTATCAAAATGCTTTCATAATGCACTAAGAGTCCGTTTGCATTACTTTTGAAAAGTCAAAATGAGTTTTTGGACTCGTTTGGCTAATTTTGTTGAAGTGCTTAAGGTGGTTAGAAAAGTTTTTAGAGGAAGCTAGTTCAATGTGACTTCCTCTAAAAGCACTTTCAGAATAGAAAATCCTTTTAAATATTAGTTTTTAAACAAAAATTAAAATAGATTTCTCCAAAAACTTTTCTACAAGAAGCAAAAGTAAAAGAAAAAGTTATGCCAAAAGGGCCCTAAAAATTTTTAATTAAAACTCATGTTTAAAATCGACTTATAAAAAACTAACTAATTTGCTTAGAAATTCATAAAAAAGCTATATATACATAGAAATGTTATTTAAGCATTAATAATTATAAATTACTCAAGTGCTTTCGTAGCAGTAAACATCTTGCACTTAAATTAAAATTTATCTTTAAACTTGAGTTATAAAGATATATAATGCTAATAGAATCACTAACCACAACTTTAATTAAAGGTTATGGTTAAAACCGACTCACAAAGATACTTCACGCATAGTATGTTTCGGAAAACAAGCTCTATACGAATGACGGAATATGATATTTGAATGTAATAGTCAGAATAAACGAGTTCAAAAGAAAGTCGAGTTTAAAATTTGTTCTGTACGTGGATAAATGTCATGTTCGTTGTAATTGGATGATAAGCAAAAAGGGTCGGTCTCGGGTTTCTGACTCCGACAAAGTCCAGGCCAACGACATTCCCTTTCCTCAAACCACTCTATTCATTTTGCATTTTGAATATGTAATTTGAAACTTATTTTAAGTTTTAAAATTAATTTATAATCCATTACTATGGAATTTAATTCAAATATGTATAATTGTTGTTATGAATTGACTAATTAATAATAATGATTGAACTATCACTTTTGTTATTATTATTATTGTCTTCAACTACTATTTAATTGATAGAAATAATATATTGACGTCTTTAACTACTTTTACATTTCGAAAAGAAATGAAGACAAAATAATAAATGTAATTCATTATTTATTATAATGAAAATCACATATTAACAGTAACTTGTTCAAATTTCTCGTTTCTCTCCAAACAAATTTTAGTATGGAATTTTCATTCTTAAAATGTTAATAGATTTTTAGTTACTTAGGTATGGGTTACCTCCACTCTTATCCAATTACTAATTTTATATCTTTAACTTATTCGAAATACTAACCCATTAAAGAAATGATGGCAACACTTACTCTACACGATTAAATGATATTCAAATTTTTAAATAAAAATACCAATAATGATGGTGATAGTGATGGCGATGGTGATGATAATAATGTGTTTTCAATGATAATTTCTTGCTAAGAGATTTATCGCAATCAAAATCCTAACCCGTAGAAGAAATGATGGTTATATTAAATGTAAGTAATTAATTGATTATTAATCTTTTTGAATGAGAACTCCACAATAACGATAACGTGCACACAAAGATAATTTCTTGTCGAAAGAAAATTATATAAGAAATAAAGATTACTACTTACTATCACTATTGTCCAAAATGCATTTTTAAATAGTATTTTGATGGAGAATGTGTGAGTAAAAAAAAAGTTTGAATTTGCTTGTAATATTATTTTATTAAAAATTGCGTGGTTGAGAATAAAAAAAAGAAAAATATGTTTTGAAAATAATGATGACCAAACAAGGGCATAAATTTTGCGTCTCAAATTAAATCAAATTACCATCTCTAATATTTTTGCTTTGTTTAATTAATGTCTCTGTAATTTATTTTAAGTTTTATCTAAAATATTTAATTTTTAAAAGTATTTTAATCATATTATTGTTAGTGTGATAACTGTTTAGCACTCTTTTAAGCTTGGCCAAACATATTTTGTAGGACTATGTGACTGATGTAACATACGTATGTAATGACCACAAAAAGACAAGTTTGATGACAGCATGATTGTTACAACCGTTTAATATATTGAATTGACTTCATAGTATATAGACAATATTTGCCTAAAATATCACGTTGAATTGTGACTTTTGTCATTATCTTAACGTCTTCAACTATTTTTTATTTATTTCTTTCGAGATGTGGAAATTGTAATTGGGTAATAATGGTAAAAGAATTAAGCTATTTGTACTTATTGGCTTATACTTTAGTTTACCCGATCCCACTCTTCCTCTCACATAGGATCAGGTCCCACATTGGGGCCACGACGTGTGGGCCCAACCCCCATATGAGGGGAGGAGGTGAGGTTGGATAACCCAAAGTATAAAATGGCATATACAAATAGTATGACCCATGGTGAAAACCTTTTATTTAGCCTTTCATCGGGTGAGAAATGAAAGATTGTAGGCATTGTGTTCGTTATTATGGATTTCTATTCAAATACATATAAAGGTTGTTATGAATTATTTGTATAGTCGGTAAAGTACGTAACAACAAAATGAATAATAATAATACATTGAACTATAAATTTGATGATTATTTTATCGTCTTCAACTACTTTTTAATTGACACAAGAAAATTTGGACATCGATTACTGTTTAGTTGAGATAAAAAGTGGAGGTAACAACAATAACATATGTAACTAACCATTTATTATGGTAACCTTTTATTTGCCTTTCTTTCGACGAGAAACAAAACACAACGGGCATTTTATCGATAACTATGGGTTTTTAATTCAAATATACATTACTTTTGCAATGAAACTCATTGAACCATTACTTTTGTTATTTTTTTATCGACTTCAACTACTTTTTAATGGATAAAAGAAAAATCTTGTCAACTTCAACTTATTTCAAGTGATAGAAGAACTGATAGAACAACGATGAAGTAAGGAACTAACAATTTATTTATATTTTTAGTAAAAATGCATAATAATGGCAATTTGTTCAGGGCAAACAAAATTTATTATGAAATTTTCATTCAAAATTAAACAACCAATTTTAGATGATGAATGTCAATTCAATTATTTCTGTAAAACGTCTAATTAAATTGATACATGGATGCCCCACCAATATAATTTAATTTTATCTTTGAAGCATACTTGTTTTACAATGATCATTAATAAGCACTCTCGAAATAGTAAAACAACAATGGAATATAATTGGTGCCCAGGTACTATTGTAAATGTGGTATGAAGTGGGAACCATTTTTTGGCCTTTCTTCAGAATTTGAAATAGGGTAAGAGATGGAAAAACATTTATTCAGTGAGAAATCAAAGATTATGGACATTTTTATCAGTTATTATAGATTTTTAATAAAATGGGTAACGTTAACAATAATTAAGCTGTTGTTTGATTTTCATTCTTCTAAAAATTCATTTTTTTCAAAACTCAATTTCAACCACACATTTTTTAATAAAATAATATTACACGTAAATCCAAAACTTTTCTTTAATTTTTAACCACACATTTTTCGTCAATCTACTATTCAAAATGTATTATTTCCTCCAAAATGGAGATCAAACAAGGGTAAATAATGATAATACATTGAACCATCGCTTTTATTACTATCTTACCGTTTTCAGTTACTTTTGATTTATAAAGAAAAATCTTGACGTCTTCAAAATCTTTTTATCAATAGAAGAAATGGAGATAATGTAAGTGTTATGCCCTAAATCCAACCGATTTAGGTTGTAAACACTTTTAATATGTTTAATATATTTAATTTTGGCAAGATCTATTATTTACTTAAATTAATTTTCTGATAAATAATATTAAATAATAGAGTCCGAAAATCCAAGTTTAAGTGATTAGTTAATTATAAAGAGTTGTGATTGTGAGATACAAATTACGTATAATTGAATCTTGAATAATTCGTGGTCGTAAGTAATAACGAGATACGGATATCGTTATTACAGATAGACCATCACGTGTGGCATTTCTTACTTGTGAAGTAAGTAACTGATCTCATATGTTAAAGTGTGGTGACATTTAAATGAACACGTGGATGTTTTGTTATAGAACAAAACATTAGAGACCCGCTAAGAGTTTCCACATGGATAATTATTTGAGTGTCAGTGGTTAATCTCTAACGTTCGGTAGTGGAATTGGTCCTGTGACTTGAGGTCATCATAGTACCTTGTATGAGGACAGTCATGCTTTGATGGTGTTGGATATTGCTCTACCAAGGACTGTTAATACGACATCGTTCGGGTATGTCAAGAACCATATGAAGGTTGTGAATGATCAATATAGGATTCGTCACTCTTAGTTAGTAAGAGATTGTGATATGCATTTTGTTCAATTAAGTCAATAACGAAATTCTTGGCTAAGATATACATATAAGTCGAAAAGGAGTTTTCGACTCATACTGACTTAATAGTAGAATGAAAGATATGATCGATAATCGAGATTGACACACTTCCATATCTCGTAATTGATCAGATCATATTGACAAAAGGATTATAGTTTCATGGTAAACGAACAGTTTTGATTTTGTCATATCAAGTGATATTTCCCGTCACATGTGTTGCCCTAATATATTGCTAGATGTCAATTTGGG